ACCAAAAAAAAAAAAAAATCTAGCCCTGGAGGGGGCACGGGTGCTGTCCACAACTGAGCTGCTCTGGGAACATCAGGCCTCTGAGACCCTTCCCCTTGTGGCTCCTGCAAATGTCCCTTCAACCCCTTCCCCTCTCCAACTCTGGAGCCTATGGAGAAACGGGGGCCGGGCTGGTGGGAGGGCAGAGTCGGCACCCTGACCTCGAGGTCTGCCCCCAGGGGCTGTGAGAACACCCCGAAGTCCTCCGTGGAGCTGAGGGCTTGACGGGCTCGGCCTCATTTAATCCGCACCGCAATCCTCCAGAGTGGCCACTACTCTTACCCCGTGTGCAGACGAGGAAAGCGAAGCCTTGGAAAAGTTAAGGCACAGGTCCGCATTGACACCACTAGCAAGTGTCAGACTTGGAACTCAAAGCAAGCACTGCTAACAGCTGGGGTCACATTCTCCATCACCACCGTGCCCTCCTCTGGCTGCGTCCTGATGCTGCCCCCTTCATACCCTTGGCCACTGCCACCCCGGCTCCTGGGTATTTAATCACATTTGCTGAGCAACCTCTCTGCGCCAGGCACTGCTCTGCACCAGGCACCCGACGCTCCATCCAATGGTTTTGGGGCATCAGGTGCATTTCGTTGAGTCTTGGGACTACTTGGTTTGCATAACTACACACCTGTGTGTACCTGGCAGGTAATTACAACCCCAATTCCCTTTGGTTCAAGTGAGCCTGTCTTCCCAGAGGACAGCCAGCCCGCTACCCAGGAGGTGAAACAGGGAGGAACCCCCGGCAGGGAGTGGTCCTCTAGGTGGCCCAGACCATTGGGACCCAGAAAGCTAATGAACAGCAGGCTGGAGGCAGGTCAGATAGGGTTCCAGACACCATGGAGGAGTCGTGGGCAGGAGCGGGGCTCTGGACCCCGAGGACACCAACCTCAACTTCTAGGCTGCACGCTGGGTTTAGTCCTAGAGAGCAGAGCTCGACTTTGTACCCCATCCCTCGAATGGGAGGGAGCACCAGGACACCTCAGTTCATTTTTATCAAGTCTGTTAGTCTGGGTTCTCTGGAGAAACAGAACCAAGAGGGTATCTAACTATAGACAGACGCACCCCTGCATATACGTACATGGCGTGTATCAGCCACGGATGACCCAGCACCTTCTGAAGAACCTCAGGGACAGATGAAAGGCTGCTCGGCCCGAACCTTCCGGCACGCACGAGAAGGTACAGGTGTGAATGATTTGGAGGCAGTTCCCTGGACGGGAGCGGGGTGGTTTGAGGACTAGTGATTCTCAAACTGGCCGCACACTGGCACCCACCGGGGAGCTCTAAGCTGGTGCCTGGCTCCCTCCCCAGAGATGCTGACTGAACCCCTCTCTCCCCCACCCCAGGACGCCAAGGCGCAGCCACGGTTAAGTCACCCTGGGCTCTTGGTAAGGAATGCAGCGGGGATGCTGGAGGCCATATAGGACACCCAAGATGGACACGTGCCAGTGGAGGTCAGAGTCTGTGTGGCAGTAGGGGACAGACAGCTCGAGGGCGACCCATGCGATGGAGGTCTATGGAGTCCATGAAGGGGTTCCCCCTCTTTCTCAAGAGGAAAAACTTTGACTTTAAAGCCACCTTAGGCCTTTTTTTTTAAATACAAATTCAGACGTCTTTCTAAACTGGCATCACCATTAGAATTCCAAAATAAATCCACTGCACAAAGAAAAGTGCAGAACTACTTATCCGGCACCTACGACATGTGAGGACCAAGTTCGTTCGCCCTCTATATCTCCCGGCAGCCCCGGAAGGCAGGATTACCCGCCTTTGATGGAGGAGGGCACTGACGCACAGGCGGGTGAGGAACTGGCCAAGGTCACACTGCATCAGGATTTGCACCTGGGGCTGCTGTCCTCCGGAGTCATGCTCCCGAGCAGTGGTTCTCCGCTAGGAGCAGTTCTGTCCCCCAGGGGATGTGTGGCAATGTCTGGAGACATTTCTGGTTGTCTCAAATGGGGGGAGGAGGGTGGGCAGAGGCCACGGATGCTGCTAAACATCCTACCATGCACAGCACAGTCCTCACAACAGTCGTCCAGCCCAGGATGTTAGCAGTGCCAAGGCTGAGAAACCCTGCTCCAGTGGTTCCCAGCCTAGGCTGCACATGAGACCCCTGGTGGGGAGCAGAGGGGGGCTTTAAAAGTTCGGATGCCCATGTCGCACACTGACCAATTACATCAGGCTGGGAGGAGTGGGCTCCTGGTATCGGTTGTTTTTTACACTTGCCAGGTGGTTCCAGCGTGCAGCCAAGTCTGCTCTAAACTACTTGCATTAGTGGCCTCTGCTCATTTGTGGGTCCCAGGGGAGGAGTACCACATCTGTCTGGGTTGTACAATAAACCGCAAGCCTGCGAGGTCCTCACCACCTCACAGAATCAAAGACCAGGGCTCTGGTTCAGCGCTTCCTTCCATGGAGACTGACTGACTGACTGATGGCTCACCCGTGGTGGGTACCAGAGGGACAGAGGGCTGGGAGGTGCTTGCTAACCTTTCCAGGAATCCAGGAGATTCCTCGGCCAGGAATCTCCCCAGGTGGCTGCAAAAGCCTCCCGAAGAGACAGTGGACCAAAGAGCGAGGCTGCCACCTAGTGGGGGAATCAGGCAGAATAGACCACCACTGAGTGCCTGCTGGATACCAGGTGATGTTTTATTTGATTCTTACAACAGCGCTGAGGGAGGTGCAGACAAGGGCCCCGGAGACACAAGATGGAGCCCTGTGCTCAAAGCCCCAGTGGGGCAGGGTTTGAGCCTGGATTTGCACCTGTCTGGCCCACAAGAGGGCTCAGGCCTCCCTCTACACTGTCACACTGGTCCCAGAGGACTGGGACCCCTGGACTGGGCTGCCCGATCCCTTCCGATGTCTACACTTCCCAGGCAGGGTCTGGGAAGAAAGAGACCCTCTGTCCCAGCACAGCCTAGACACTGCAAGTCCAAAACCCAAACAGGAAACAACTTCCTCTGGTCTCCACCACAAAGCTCCAGGCCTCCCAAAACAGTGGTTTATAAGCAGGGGCCTGGGTACACACTCAGGCAAGAAGGTAAGAGTCTCCGGCACAGTCCAGCGTATGGATGTGTGTGCCCTCCAGGACACGTGCCTCGGAAAGCCCCAGTCAACCCCCGTCCTGCCTCTCCTTTTCTGAGCCTGAGGACCGTCCTGGGTGCTGAGCCACTCTGGGCCCTGCAGATGAGGCTGAGGGCTCTTGGGGGTCTTGGAGAAGTTGCTTTCTCTCTCCCTCTGCAGGGACACCCTTCCTCTGGCTGCAGATAGAGTGAAGAAGAATTCCTGCACAGACAGACAGAAAGACAAGGATGAAGAGGAAGGACCATGTGCCAGGAACTCCCTCATTTCATCCTCAGAAGGATGTAGGTATTCTCCTCATTCAGCACAGTGAGATATGGAAAGATTGAGAAACTTGTTTAAGATGAAACAGCTCTATATGTATGATCAGAGGGAGAGAAGTAAGGGGCACGTATACTCACCTGCAGCCACGGAGACATTTAAGGACTCGAGTCCACGAGGCAGCTGCCGGCCGGGCAGGATGGTAAGGAGAAGCTGGCAGGAAGCCTGCACCTCTGGGGACAGACCAGAGCCCTCGTTCCCTGCAGGGCACGGTGGAGAACACAGGGTTAGGGAGGCCCCAGCTGGACACGCAGGCGTTCGGGAAACGCCACGTGTGAGCCGGGAAAGCAGGGACACCTACCCACCCAGCACTAGGAGAGTAGGCCGGTCCCAGAGGAACTCCAAGCAACTGGTGACAGGCATCTCGGAGGACGGGGAAATCTCACACCTCGGGCAGCCCACCGTGCCAGCCACGAGCCAGCCCTGCTGGGCTTTGGCCTGAAAGGCAGAAGAAAAAATCATGCTTGAGTTCACCACGTCTTCATCGAAGCCTGGCCGAGAAGGAGCCCGGCCTTGCCCATTTATTATCCCCTCACTGACACCCCTGGGTCCAGTCAATAGTTATTAAGCCCCTAGAATGGGCAGGCTCTGTCCGAGGCACTGGGGCTACGGTGTGAGCAAAACAGGCCCAAATCCCAGCCTCTCAAATGGTGACCAGGGAAGGTGTCGCTGAAGTGACATTCGAGTGCAGACCTGGAGGAGATGAGGGAGCACCACATAGACACCTGGGGGGAGCACTCTAGGCAGAGATCGGCACGGGCAAAGGCTGAGGGGCGGGTGCTTACCTGGCATGTGTGGGGGACAGCGGAACAGCGAGGTGGCCAGTGGGAAGGAAGCCATTGAGACAGGAGAGGGACCAAAGGGCCACTTGAGGTAGGACCTCGAAGGCCTTTGGCTTTTACTCTGAGAGATGCAACAACTTTGAAAGGCTTTGAGCAGAGAAGTAACATGGTCTGACTTATATCTCAGCAAAATTACTACATACTGAGAGCCAACAGCAGAAGCAAGCAGACCAGTTAGGTCTCTGCAGTGATACAGGCAAGAGATGATGAAGGGGTGGACCAGAGTGGGAGCAGTGGAGATGGTGCAAAATGGTGAGAAATAATGTTAAGGTAAAAACGAAAGGATCTGCTGGGATACGGGTGGGAGAGCAGGAAGAATCAAGGATGCCAAGGCTTTGGCCCAAACTATTGAAGGGATGGCGCTGCCATCCATTGAGCTGGTAAGTCCATCAAAGGAACAGGAACAACACTTGGAAATGTTTGAAATGCCCATTAGACAGCAAAAAAGAACAGCTGAGTAGGCAACTAGATATGTGAATCTGAGGCCCAGGAGCAAGATCCAGGAGGATATACATTTGGGAGGCATTCAAATTGAGATGGCATTGACTGGATGTGACTAAGAAGAAATAAATACATACAGAAAAGAGATCCAAGGACTCAGACTTCGGAAACCTAGGGGGATGGTCAGGGAAGCTGCTATATGCAGGGCAATACTGCCCCCTTGTGTCCAGCGAGGGAAGCACAGCTGAAGACAAATGTGGATGGACCAGGAGAGAGGTTTTTACTTACGTTTGCCCCTTCATTTTTTGGTTGGTGGTGGTAGTGGTTAGTCTAGGATTTGTTTGTTTTGTGGGAGGCACGAGGGGAAAGGCATAGACTAGTTCTTGTTCAAAGAGGCTTTCAATTTCAAGCTGTGCGCCTACCGGAGGAACCCAGGACTCCCGGCCACCAGTTCCTCACAGCTAAACGTTTACCAAAGACTTATACTTATCAGGTAATGAGGCACTGAGGTAAACCCAGTCTGCCTCCAAGAGGAGTGCAGTAAAAGTTCATAACTTCAGATTCTGTTCCACGTATGGTTTTAAAAACTCCAGGATCCTTCCCTTCTCAATGGGTTTTAGAAGGACTTAGGCAGCGAAACCAACACACCCCTTTCTCTCCCCTTTCTCCATCAGCTGCTGGCTGGGGGCCCTTGGAGAGGCTGAGCTCGGCTCATTTCTTTTCCTTTACCGTCACCCCACTTCCCCCCGCCGTTACCTGTAAAAAACCGGCCAGGTCATCAGTGGAGAACACGTCCATCACCTCCATGGCCCCGGCGCTGGCCTTGCTGACTACTGGAGTTAGCGGGCAACTGCAAAGTTTCCCCAAGTCCCTGAATGAGGCTGGGTAATCTCAAGCCCGCAGCCGTGCCCTCCTCCAGCCTCCAAGAGTTTAGGGGTGAGAATTCTGGGCGATAGGGAGGCCTGGCTGAAGGGACTACCCAGGGGTCAAGGTGCTTAGGAACTCGGCCGCGCCTCCAGACTGGGGCACACAGGGAATAAGGGGCGTCCGTGCCTGTTTCTCTGGCTGGTGATGACCTTATCCACCCCGAGGAAGTGAGCGGAGCGCAGAATGGCCCCAAGATTTCGGGGATCCTGGAGCCCCTCGAGGACGAGCCACAGCTGCTGGGAGTTGTCTCCTGGCCCCGCCTCCCCGGCCTCAGCCCAGGGCCGGGGCCACAGGGGGCTCACTTCCATGCAGACGCCCTGGTGGACCTGGTAGCGGCACAGGACGTCCAGCTGCTGCCGTCTGGGCCGCACAACTGGGATGTCCCGCGTCTCAGCCGTGCGGAGCAGCTCGGCCCGCTCCCCCTGCAGCCCGGACCTGCCGGCCTGGAGCAGGAGCCGGGCCACGCGACGGCGGGAGGCCCGCAGAGCCAGGAGACAAGGGGACAGGCCAAACAGAAGCTCCAGACCGCCGGCCGACCGCTGGGTCGGCGGCAGGTCATCCAGGAGCAAGCGGCTTAGCTCCTCCCCGCCAGGCCGCT